AGCCAAACAAACCCCTTCCCTCCCCCCCCCCCAGACATCGAAGCGAGGGTCGACTCTGTCACTTAGAAATAAATACATCTACCCGGCACTATTAAGCGTCATCTTTAGGGTCCAAAAAGGGGGAGAGGGAGAAAAGAATTAATTCCCAATCAAATTTCATTTCCCACCATTTGGGAACTCTATTATGGGGGGTGGGGGAGTTGTTTATTTTCGTAACCTTTGGCAGCAGGATCACACCCCAAACTGGAGAGAGATACCTTTCTCTTTTTTTAATCGATTCCTTCCAGTCCATAGATAAACCCGGCATGCTTGGGCTATTGTCTCCTAAACGGCGCTGATATATTTATTTAGAGGCCAGAGTCCCAAACCGAGGAAGCCACCGTCGAGCGCTCCAGAGGTTCCCCCCCCCCCTCCGGATGATTGGTTCCACCTTAAATAACTTGGGCTTTTTTCTTTTTTCTTTTTTCTTTTTGGTCCCAAACGCGCCCTGTAGTTCGGGTGGTGTGTTTTTTTGTGTGTGTGTGTTTTTTTGTCCTCCCTGCAGCAGCTGTCACCCTGCATTATTCGCAGTCAGCTAAATGAAACATTATTCTAAACATATGCATCGTAATCAGTTCGGTCACACTTACAAGAACACGCGTTAATAAGGCAATCAATCACCCTGGAACAAGCCAGTTCTTCTGTAACAGCTCATAAACAGTATGTAATGAAGAATTGGAGGTTAGCATGACATGCGTTGATCAGATAATCAATGTCAAAGATGCGATGACTGTCAGTAAATGTAGTTTTCATGTCGTTTCTATAAAATCTCCAATTTACAACAAGCAGTTCAATTACCCAGAAAATACAGTCAATTAAATAGGGGTGATTGGACAGTGGGAGGGGGGGAGGGGCGGATCATCGATCTTTGCATTTTCTATCTCGCCCGTGGACATTTAATTTGGTTTTTCTATTAGCGCCCCGAAATAAAGAAAATATAAAAATATATTAAACAACCTACAGATTTATTTTCTTGTCAAAAACAATTCAGGGGTGATGACAGACAGTCTTCTTGCGTTTTATGATGAATTATTTTCTCTCTCTCTCTCGTCTTATTCTTCTGCACGCTGGAGACGACGGCGGAGGGGGGGTGGAAGGGGGCGAGAGAGCAGAGAATAGATGCTGTTCTTTTTGGACAGGGGGTCTGGGGGCCACTGTCTTCTCCGGTTAGCCGCCCCATCTATCTCAATGCCTTTGTTTTTAAGGGTTACAACTCCCACGTTAGCAAAGAGCAGGGAAAAGCAGGGCGATACATCACCGTTCCAAATGTGCTGCTATAATCGTATTTCTTTAATGGGGGTGTTCAGGGAGCAAGAGAGAGAGAGAGAGAAGGGGGGGGCGTGTGCGGCTTATCTAACAAAGAACCCCTGGGAACACTCCAGTATATATTTAACCAAACTGCAATTAAAGACAGTATCAGCTTGTATCATTTAGAGCTAATGCAATAATAATGGTAAATTACAGGGCCAAAATGGCTTGTGATAGCAGCCTCTGTATTCCCTGTAGTTTCCGCGTCGTTGTAATTAATGCCAGGGTGAGCAGTTGGTAAAGGCGGATTTCGTGCAAGGGACATCTTGGGCTTAACGGCAGCGACAACAAAAATCGAATGGAGAGGGCCTATCTGGTATACACACACGCACGCACGCACCCCCCCATCTCCTCGCACATTTCCCCCCATCGAAATATCGATCTTACAGTGGGAAGGAAGGAAGGAAGGAAGGAAGGAAGGAAGGAAGGAAGGGAATAAATAAATCCTGGGGAGTAGCCACAGTTGTTTGTTGTACCAAAAACAAAGGAAAAGACATCACGCACATTTAGGGTAG